TTTGAATATATTTATTCAGGTTGAAGTTGTGGTGGGGATTACTGTGATAACACCAAACACAGAATGATGCATTAATAAAAATAATGAAAGTGAAAATATGTAGAGATGACGATCAATCTGAGGAAGGTGTAATCAGGGACAATAAGTGAAAACACCTGCGTAGTTTGAGTAAAGCTGTTTAAGATATTTTAACATGAGTCCAATACATCACATAATCTTTGCTAATTATTTCACTAAACCAACAATAATTATTATGGAATATATTTGGCACATTGGAATAACAGTTCAAATATAGGTGACATTTTCTTAATTGCAGTTGTCATTTTAGAGCCCATTTAGAAGGGTGTATTATTTTATTTGAAAAGAGACCTTTAACATAACAAATTCAGACCTGATTAAATCACAAATGACCTAAAAAAGCCATCAAAGCGACATTTCAGGACCATCCCAAATCAATATTTGTAATGGCAGTAGTAAAAAGAGTAGGAAGAACACAGCTGAAACTGATTTTATATTTGTATTAGTGAAACAAAGCAAAGGTAAGACTTACATTGGGTGATGTGAATAAATACACACGACAACACAAAACAAAATAAATAGAGCAAATGTTAGGTTAAATGGTTTATGGTGTGTGTACTGTATTATCAAAGGTGCACAGCAGTGTTACTACAGTGGAGTCATATGGTTTAAAGGGGGAAAGAAGGAAAGACATAGAGAGTAGTCAGGAAACAGATTTCCTGACAGGGTTGGCTTATTATATCCCACTTTGCAACCAATTACAAATATTGGGTTTCATTTGTATCAGCATTTATTTATTTTGTAAAACTTTTTTCAGCAGGTAGCTTTTTAAGCATCCCCCTCACTAAAGCTGTTTTAAAAAAAGCATTTACCTTATAAAACGTTACAGCTAATGTTAATACAAGTTAAAGTATTCAACTGCTGTGCAAAAGCCAACCCTGCATTAGCTGCTCTATAATCACCAAATATATAGGCTACTCTGTCTGCATTAGGTGCTCTATAATTAACAAATATATTTGTTGGTCTGAAGTGAATCTCTGTCACTCAATACATTGCTTTTCTGTAATTACAATGTATATTATATTACCTGAAATTATGCCTGTGAAGTGATACTGAAGAAGCGCCTCGTCAAACTGCCTGGGCGGTGTTCTCACTGTAATTAACAGTAGCAGCTGTTTTGGTTTGTGCAAAGCAAAGCATGCTGGACCACTGTTCAACGCCCAAAATGGCGGCACGATTGAAAAGTTTTGCCTGTTTTATCCGAGTTTGTTTTCTTAACAGTCTACTGCTTTAGTTGTGTTCGCGGCACTGAAGCACACCATTCGCACACTGGTGTCACGCCGATGTGTTATCTAACACTTGCGGAATAAGGCAGATCATAATGACATTTTGCTATCAGCTCAAATTCGGACATCACTTTACCAATGCTAGGGTAGCCTAAGCTAGGCTAGCAAGCTAACTACTTTCAGATGAGTGCTGGTTAAACATATTCTGTTGATAGTTATGTGTTTTCACACCTTGCTCCCCACGCTGAACTGAATATGAAGAGGAGGACCTTTACATAGAAATGGAGGATGATGTGAAAAAAGTGAAAAAGGTAAGTCGGGCCATTGTCACAGCTAGCATTACTTTTTACTGCAAGTTTGCCAGCTAGCATGCTAACTTACTAGCTACTCATACCAGACTAGCTTAGCTGTTTGCTGGCTAAGTTTATAATACATATGGAGTCAATGTCCGCGAGCAGGGGCCAACATATCACGATAACACACTGACACTTTCCCGACTTTTCATTGAATACGTAGAATGTGTAATTTACAGAATGAATGTTACATAAAGTTATCTTCAGGATGTGCAACAGATAGAACCTTAAAAAACAGGGCAACGTTTTACAAGATCAGTGTAAAGTGTCTTAATTTATAATCAACATGAGCTTCGTTATCTGTTGTTGGTTCACAGTTCTCTGAATATCGACTTTGCATTGTTAGTTTTGTAGTCCAGATGTGCTATTTATAGTAACGTCCTGAAAACATCGGCTACTGGTGTGTTACTGTGGCTAATTGTGCGTTTGTTTTGGATTGTGTTAACAGTGAGGCTATGGCTCAAAGAGAGTATTCCCCTAAACGTAATGAAAGCACAACCATGTGTTTTTCAGAGTAGTAACCCTCGTCGTTATGTGTAGGCGTGGGTCAAAGAGGATCTGTGTGCTCAACAGCTGTCAGAGGCAGCGGCTATCAGTGTCAGTCATGCTAAGGGGAACCAGCATCCTTTACCCAGCTCTCACAGACAAACACTACAGACACATACTGGCTAATGATCCCGTTTGATGTGGAGGCAGATCGGTATGTTCAGACACATAGCTGACATTTCTTTTATCTGACACAAAGGACATTTTCCCTCTGTTCTTCGTGTTGTTCACAGGAGGAAGGGCAGAACCCTCCAAATCTAAGCAGGACATTACATTGAAAAGCTCTCACAACCTTAGCAATGCAGTGAGCAATGAAGTGTCTTACGTTAACATTTTTGCTATGACTTAGCTGGTCAGTCCATCATCTTTTCCATGTTATTTCCCATCCAATTCAATGTCCTCTTGATGTGAAGGGAAATGTGGACGGAAATGAATGGATATCCTTATGTTAATAGGGTTTGTTATGGCAAGGAAATGTTTTTGTCAGCAATTTTAACAAACCCAAACTCTGCCAGTGGTTGGATTAAAGCACGTCTTTAAAACTTCAACTCAGAAAATGTTGATATGACTAAATACTTGTGGCCCCAAAACAGATAGATTTGAAGTAAATCTACTTCAACGCCTGCTTGGCAGCATTGTGGTTTTCTGGAAAGATGGGGGACCAAATATGGATTATTCCTCTAATCTCAGTATAAAGTATTGTTTTTAGCTCTATGAAACTGGATAAGCCACATGTTTAGTACTGTCTTTAAGGGTTGATGCTCTTTACTTTTAGATTGGTGTCTCCAGTGCATACAGTTTCTGGATATGCCACTTGGTGGAGATAATGAACAACATTTTGCCCAGATGTATTCTTGATAATATATTAAAAGCAGTATTAAAATTAGGGGTGCACCGAATGGGAAATTCTTGGCCGAAACCGATACCGAAAATAGGAAACAGTTGGCCGAATGCCGAAAGGCCGAAAATGATTAATAGAAATAATATATAATGTATACATTTTTTACCAATGTTGTTCAGCTACCTGATTATGGAAAAAGACATGATTATGGCAAAACTTAACTTAAATAATAATCACTATTATGGGTCCATAAAACATTTATTCAGCACTTTTGAATGCATACAGTACATTAATTCCAAGTCAATTGCATTTTCTTTTCTCTGTAGGATAACTACAACAAAGTGCATTCAGAACAAAGCCAAGGTGCTTTAAAACTGCATAAACATCTAGGCCAGTAGGCCTACAACAAAATAGTGTAAATAAAGACTGTAACAGCCAGGCCTTCAACAACAACAAATGCACCTATAAGTGCATGCATACAAATGTGCAAACTGGATAAATCCACATGAATGTAACTATTTACAAATGAAATTACAATTGAATNNACATCTATATTGATTCTGACTTTTCTACGTCCAACTCACAGGTTTATCATTGCTTTGAGAAACAAGATTATTAATTTACCCCTTTTAGAAGTGTAGTTATGGTCTTTTGTTCTGGAAATGTCATTTTCAAGCCTGGGGCCTGAAAAACAGGGCTGTAAGATTACATTACAATGTATTTAGCTGACGCTTTTATCCAAAGCGACTTACAATAAAGTACATTTGACCAGGAAGATACAACCTTGAAGAAAACAAGCCGCTCAAGCCAGCCGTGCCCTATCTAGTTAGGTGAACGTTCACATAAAAGGGGTGGTATTTGGAGCATTCGACCAATCACAAACATGGAGAAGCGTACTGACAGCGCAGCGTCATACTTCCTGAATGAAAAGTCAACTATAATATTAGACATGAAGAAGTTAAACTTTAAACATCCATGACTTAAACACTTTATCCAGGATCAAAGCCACATAGCTGCACCTGCAAGGTGAATACAGCTGGTAACAGAACAAGTGTTTGAATGCGTACATTAACAGGTTTATGATATCACTGCCCCGTCTAAGACACCATCTGACTTTCATTACATTTGACTCGAGTGTTTCGTCAACTTAATGTGTTGCTTAAAATAATACTTCTGCATACAGTATGTGACACTGTGAGTGTTGCACGGCCAGATACGGCTCAGCTGACTCAGATAAGGAAATATATGATACATTATGATGTGATATGCCGCGGACTGTACTTAATGTTACTCTGATCCGGTTACTTATGTTGTTGCAGATATTTAAGTAAGCTTTCTTAACGCTAATGTTATAATAGTCAGATTGCTCTGAAGATGGGAGGTGATATTCTATTAATGTTCACGTTCACACAGTCGCTGATTTTTGCCGGCCGTCTTTCCTGCAACGGCAGCTTTTCTGTATTTCCTTTCTCCTGTAATATGACTTGATCGCTTTAAACTCCGCACACTGAGCTCTGATTGGTCAGCAGGCAGTGCTTTCACTGAGTTGAGCTCTTAGCCTGCAACCTAACCTGCTCCGGGGCAGGTTAGCCGCACAGCATATGTTACCATGGAGATCTAGCCTGCTAAAAAGAGAACCTGCGTCGTAGGACCGGAAAGCCCGAGCTTTCCCTGAAGTTAGCCGGCTAAGCGAAAATCCAGCATCGTAGTACAGGCCTCTGGCCTCAGGTCCATCTGGTTGTTTATTTTGTTGTCTTCTTTATGTCAACAAGTAACAATGAGGATATGATAATGTTAAATCCCATTAAAACAAGTTAACTCGTGTCTTTCTTGAGTAACTAGAAATAATTTAAATGAGTTTGTAACGTAAAGGGTGGACCAATAATGAAGAAATATTTGGACTTGCAACAAATGACAATTCTAATTTGACTTTATTATTCTGACTGACTGCGTATTTTTCTTTGCTCTCCAGCCCAGGAGTCGGGGGGTTCTCCTTGTCCCAGCTCGTGTCCCGATCTTAACAAGTCTCAGACCCTGAGCTCCTTATCAGAGAGTGGGGCTGTGCTCGTGGAAGTCTGCTGTCTGCTGGTGCTCGCTGTTGACAATAAGGTATTATTTTTGCATCTGTGGCTACGCTAAATGAAAATACATTCCTCAAGTTTATTCAGATTACACAGGTGGCAACAATTTACTAAGGCTACTTTAAAAAGTGAATTGATTTTTGTCTCCAAGCCACCTACAGGGCCATTTGTAGAAGGTTCCCCAACAAACAAATACACCAAGTAAAAGTGCAGAAAAGCTATCGATAACAATGATTCAAAGAGAAACTCATGGAGCCTTTTAAAAGTGGCATACGCAGAAGGTGAACTGTAGCTAATCCCCAATGGTTTAAAATGGCTTAGCTAAATTAAACTCGAACTATGCAAGAAAACTCTCTCACATGTATAGTTTTACACTGTCGTAAGTTGGTTCCTGCAGAATGTTGCATTTATAGATACTGTGTTTGTCTTCCAGGCAGCAGCGGAGGAGCTGTGTCTCTTGCTCAGCCAAGTCTTTCAGATTGTTTACACGGAGTCAACCATCGACTTCTTGGACAGAGCCATTTTTGATGGAGCAACTACACCTACCAGACACCTCTCTCTATACAGCGGTAAGGGGAAAACAGGAAAAACAAACTGAATGGGACTAGTTATTGTCCTTTAACAAGTTTATGTGTTGTTGATTCAGAAATAATCCTTTTAATTATTCACTTGTTTTTTATTTTGCAGAGGATTCTTCAAGCAAAGTGGATGTTAAAGAGTCCTTTGAAGGGGAAGCAGGCACATTGTAAGAGCACAGTAAGAGTCCTACTTTGATCATAGGTATTCAGTTGGACACAGAAAGAATTTGAAACGTTTGTTTTTATCTCTCAGTCCTTTCCAGGCATCTATGGAGGCAGAAGGAAGCTCCCCATCAGCGTCCACCCCTGCTTCCCCTCAAACGAAGACGGCGAGTGAAGGAGAGCTCAGCACCACCGCTGCAGAGCTGCTGCAGGACTACATGACCACAGTATGACAACTTCACACCTTTCTGTACATGAGAATATTTTCCCAGACTGTGATTAAAATAAGTCTCCATTTTAATCTCTTTTATTTTCTGTTTAGCTGCGGACAAAACTATCATCACAGGAGATCCAGCAGTTTGCCACGCTGCTCCATGAATACCGTAACGGTGCCTCCATTCACGAGTTCTGCATTAACCTGCGGCAACTCTACGGGGACAGCAGGAAGTTCCTTTTACTTGGTACGACCACACTGTACTCCCATTAGTTAAGAGACAAGGATGATGGGCATCATGCCACAAGACTATTGTGTTGCTGTGGTCAAACCGGCACCATTTCATCTCCCCACATGAAATCGTGAGATGTTGTAAAAAACATGTGGATAAAATTCCCAGTAGCACCAATTTTTTACTCAATATTTAAAAAGAAAACACCTGTGTTTTATATCAGAATAAATGCAACAGAAATGTTTTAAAGTAGGGCTGCACAATTAAGTGGAATCACAAGATGCCATATCTTCTGCAGAGACATTCCTATTCTACAGGCTTTATAGAAATCCTTGTTTGCTACAGATCCTTTTTCAAAAATCACTTACCTTTTTAATATTATGAAACGGTAACCGTATGCCTTGTAATCTCTCGCTGCAGGCCTGCGCCCCTTCATACCAGAGAAGGACAGCCAGCACTTTGAGAATTTCCTGGAGACCATCGGTGTGAAGGACGGCCGAGGCATCATCACGGACAGCTTCGGACGCTACCGCCGCACAGCAAGCTCCGCCTCCGACTCCACCACCAACGGGAACGGCGCGGCAGGAGGGAGCGTGGCCTCGGACGAGGGCCAGGAGGCCTCGGAGGGGGACGAGTGGGACCGCATGATCACGGACATCAGCAACGACATCGAGGCCCTCGGCTGCAGCATGGACCAGGAGGGCGTGGCCCCCTGAACCAGAGAACACAGGGGGACACTGAGGAGGTGAACAAGTAGGCATGAGCTGAACGGATCAGATGAAGGGGGTCCGAAGCACTGACCTAAGAGTTTTTTTTTGTTTATTGTATTTTCCTCTAATTATCAAGAGGACGTTCCATAATCCCCACGCACTCAAGGAAAACCTCAACCTATCACCACGAAGAAAACAAACATGAAGTCAACAAATGCACTTATGCTGCAGACATTAGGCAGTCAGTGGGCTATTTTTGCATTTCAGAGGATTTCAGAGCCTCTGATTTATTTTGAAAGTCACTTGATTTTGTACTCTTTTTATTGGCAGTATCTGCCACGGCTGTCGGCATTGTAGTGAAAATCTCCAGTGATTGAGAATATTAGTATAATAGTACTTCAGCCTCTGGAGGATCCACCAGAGGACTGTGTGCATGTTTTAGAAGGTAAAGACTGAGGCTGTATCGATGTGCTGTTGTATTACCATTAGGTCAGTCAGCTTCATCCACCAGGAGAACTCATTTATTTCACATTTGTGTGTCGCTGTGAGAGTGGAACATTTTGATATATATAATTTTTTCTCATAAGATTTGTGTATCACTTAACAGTACACTATCATTTTTTTATCAGTGTTTACTCTTATATATATTGTTTTGCTTTATTCAAACTGACCAAGGAAATGCTGTACAAACAAAACATTCTCAGTCAATCCAAGCGATTGAGTGGAATGTATTTGACAAAGCCACTTATGGCTGATGTAAATGTATGATTTCTCCTGCAGGTCATCTTTGTTATGTCTCCTGATATTACATGTATCTGTCATTGTGCCTTTACACTGCAGTACTGCTGCCGACTGTCTGCCACACAGACAGGGAATTATGAACTGTAACTACAGTTGTTGAGCAAATCATGGTTATTAAATAACAGCTATTTACACTGACATGTCTGTTTTTCTTTCAAAAGCGCTAAGCATTAATGAGCCTTTTTTATTATTCTAAGCTGCTGCATTATAAGCAGTTTGAAATGAGGCTGTGCTGTGTTGTGTATGACTTTCATACACCAAATCTGACCCAAGACGTGAAGGTTTAATCTGATTATGATCCTCTCTGACTGATCATGTGCTTGGATGCACGTAAGCTGCTGTGAAACATCAGTCTGAGTTTAATCAAAGCAATCATGCCAGACATGCCCTACAAAGTTGGGGGATATTTTTGTGAGTCTTGGAAAATTGGCAAGAAACATGGAGCTCATTCCAGCCTGTGAAGCCACTCTGGGATTTTAAAACATTTCCTTTACAGATCTACTTTTTATATGATTTTAAAAGTATAAAAACTGGAATGAGTTCTCGTATTTGTGGTCCGGATAGAGCAGAGGGTATAGGAGTGCATGTGCAGACTGCAACACTACACCTGGGTTCAAATAGCTTTGGCTCTCGACACTGTCTGCCTCAAACAAAAGGATGATCTAACCGAGCAAATCCTCTCATCACACAAGCAAACTATTCTCGGCTAGTTTCTGAGAAAGTCTCAGCACTGTTTTGGTACATAAGTAGAGTAATTATTGTTTTTGACACAGCCTCTGTGTAATCGAGCTATGTTCTCACAGCTTGGCAGACTGCTAATTGGCCGACTGTAAATTAATCCAGTTTTTAAACAGCAGAATGAACCATGGTGCCTCATTTGAAGTAGGTAATTATTAAATAGATCTGTTTGTTTGATTAAGTCATTAAACAGATCCCATGCTGCTTTATAACAAGAGTATTTACCACAACTGCTGGAGCCCCTGTCACTTCGTGTGAGTATTCCTCATGAAGAACAATAAGATGGGTGTTGGCTCGTTTGAATGAGAAGATCATTGTAGTCACAAATGCAAACATGAGATTTAAATTATAATGGTTATGGGATTAACATTGTGTAAAATCTGTAAATACAGTGGATTTGCATCTCCAAATGTTTCAGAGTTTAAATAGAAAACAATCTAGATATTAAAATAAGGGTTAATTTATGTTGTGGTTTACCTTAATAAGACTAAAGCCTAGCTAGCATACCAGCTATAATTAGAAGTCAAAATGTGTTAACAATGGTTGAATTACTTTATTTACTGGCAAACTCTCATATTTATCACCTGGCTGCAGTTCCCCTTAGTTCTATATAACCTTTTAACATATCCTGCACAGTTTTTGTTTTCAGGTCAATTTAACATATTTTAGGCATCTGTTCCAGCATCAACAGAAACATCGGATATACGAAGCCCGAAATGGCAGACAAAGTTGGCCACAATGTTGGAACAAATCTGTCCCAAAATTCTGATTAAACAAATTCAAAAAGCTTGAAATATATATTAAAAAAAACTCAACCTTTGATCCTCAATGAAAGGCCTAGCCTAATCCAAAATTAAAAGGAATCTGCAAGCAAGGGGCTTTTCCCCAAATTAATATCCCACATAGAAAGCTATGGTTTAATCTCTATTTTTAGCTCCAGGACACTTTTAATAAGTGTTCCTCTGACCTTATAAATCAATTTTCCAACAACAAACACAGTCAGAATCCGTGTCTTTCTTAACACTCCAGGGGGTTAATGGTGTGGTCGAGTTCAGGCCTCAGCAACGTGCTCTGTTCTCCAACAAAAACAGTGACTCAGCTCTTATTTCTACAACATCAAAAGTTAACAGTAACATTTCTGGTTGGGCATCTTCCAGTAAATCATTGATAAATTGGTCAAATGTATTTGCAAAGTGTCACAAATGAGGAAGTAGGAACATTGTGTTACCACAGATTTAGTTATAATCCAAAATAGGGAATAATCCATCAGTTAAAAAAAATACTTCCTTGACTATTCTTGGTCACTTCTCTGGGCTGTGGTTTCTTGTATGGTCTCATTCTTACAGTTAATATTTGCTGAGATTTATCGATTCACTCCAACACAAAGACTCGGCATGTGGATGCTGTCTGAGACTGGGATTATCGCCAGTCTCCCCCTGCGGACCCCCTGTGAGCCTCCTGTCAGTCATTGATGCTTGTTGTGTCTGCTGCTCAGTCAGGGTGAGAAGTGCCTCTCTGTGGTGTCACATCTGCTAAATTCCTGGAAGAGTATCACAGCTACATTCCCAGAAAACAACTCTGACAAATGGTTAAGAAAGCAAGACTGCTCGCTGCTTTAAAATACATATAAATCTAACTGGAAGCTATAACGTAATTACCCTTAAATTAAATGCACATCATACTGTCAAAATCTCCCTGAATTAGCTGTCTATTTTTTGCATCAGGACTGTGGTTTCCACACAGTATCTTCATGCTTCAGCCTGGCGATAGTGCCAGATTGTATGCTAGTCAATTCATTTTGTCATGGAAATTAGAAGATTTAGGCATGACATTAATAAAATGTCAAAGTCCAGGAGCATCTGTCAGACCTTGAATCTAAACAAGCACAACGATTTTCTTGGTGTTTCTTGGATTGAGAAATTGTCGCAGTATTTAGGTCATTTAATAAGCTTTATAGAACAAGAGAAAGATAGAAATCTTGATCACCAGCAAAAAGTCTACTATAGCCCCTTTTTGGTAGCCTTTCAGTCAAAAGGAGTTAGTTTTGGCATTCAGCAGCGGTAAACCAACGTAAAGCTGGAGCTCATGCATGAAAATCTCAAAGTCCTTCCAGTGTTTCCCCTAGGATGGGCCCGCGCCTTAGCAGCAAAATGTGAGCGCGGAGCACCTGGAATTTTGTAGTGTGTGTGCGCGTGCGAAGTGCGCCCCGCCAATATGTTGTGTCTGTCAGCAACAGCAAGGCTCTTGAGTTCTAATAGCCTATACAGTGGCAATGTCTCAATATTTAGCAAAATACACCTTTATTGAACATACAGTAACACAAATACTACAAATCCACATAACAAACAATCAAAAGTCAAAAAGGGTCGCCACTTATTATTATTTTACTAATAAGTGGCGCCGCCGCCACTTCAGGCCCTCCAGAATGGAAAGGGATGCAGGGATCAGCAAGGGTTACACCGACAGCTCACATGCTAAAACGCGTCACCCCGTGCTCATGTCTTCACATGGTCTTCACACATACTCAAAACCAGATGCCAAAACCTGCTGGAGCCAACTGTTTACACCAGTGCAGCGTGCACAGACGACAGCTGTATGCGGAACAAAAGTATTATGAAAAAAAAAAAAAGAACTGAGGGGATTATTTGAAGAAAGGTGGAAACCCAATGTATGTCCTTTACCAAAGTTTTACCGACAAATTAAATATTTCGGGAATGTATTCCTTTTCTGGATGTTAGTTTGACGAGAACACAGACACCACTCTCATTTAAGACGGTCAATTATGAAGCTTAATGAGTCAGTTAGCCTAGCTTAGCATAATGGAAACAGAGGGGAGTAGTTTGCCTGGCTAGGTTACTTATTAAAGTTATCTACCAGTTTCTCTAAAGCTTAAAGTGACAGCACATTCAACTGGTTTCTTTAATAAGAAGATAAATGTATAGTTTTAAGAGACTTATTCATCATTTGAAGCTAAACTAAACTAATACAGATGTTGTTAAAAGCCCAGAGCATCTCCAAAAAGAGAAGCTTTAATTGTTTAAAAACCAACAATGATGTATACTGCATCCCAACTCAAAAATAATTGTTGGTAAAGTGTATCTAAACTTCTTTATTTTAAATAAATCATGCTTCTTCCTGGCTTAAGTATATCATATTTAACCAAACCAGTTTTAAGGTATGTTTCTGTCTATTATAGGCTCAGTAACACAAGATCAAGTAGGCAAACTTGGTGTTTTCTAGCCAGGTGGCTCATTGTTCAGGGGAACTGCAAACTGAGGCTAGGTATTGTGTTGGTTGAAAAGCAACTAGTGGAGTGAGAGATTAAAGCTGTAATTTTGCCCAATCTATATTATAGTATTCTGGGACACAAGGAGGGGCATCTCAAAGTCTAAACTCCTTTGCTTGTTGTGCGGTCTGTGCATTGTGAGTCTGAACATAGAAAATAGGTTACCTCCAATTATATGTCCCATTATAGAAGGACCCACATAATCATGCCATGAGCTATAATTCAATAAAACAAAACCATATTTTTCAGACAAAGAACACCATCTCAAATGTTAACTTCCAGACTGGAACTGAACAATTAGAGTAAAAAAAGAGCAAAGCTCAACCCCAAGTGCTAAACTTCTTTATTTATAACAAAATGCAGCAATTTGCTGGAAACCACTGCGATTTCAACAACTAGTGCAAAATGACAGTCATCATAAAGAATCATTTTCATCATATTCTACAAATGCTTTCTAAACTACTTAACTACTCGCTTACTCAATTGTGCATAAAGTACAGGATAGTGTACAAATGGTATCCATGTTAAAACATATTTTTAAATGTAACATTTATATTAAGGGAAAGAAGCTGTCGCTGAAACATCCTAGAGGTCTGAATACAGTAAGAATATATTGAAATCTGTGCTTGATAAATCTGGCAAACAACACAAATATAAGGAAACATATACTGTTGAGTAGCTGCTTGCAGTTTAGCTGATGAGGCTTGAAAAGCTCAGGAATAAGATTGAGATTGCTTTACTGTAGTTTAAAAAAGGGCAAGTTTTCTGTTTCAATGTCTAAAATTTGCTGTAGTTTTAAGAAATAAAGGTTTCTGTTTATAGCTGCCATGTATTATAGTTAAGTGGCAAACAAATGATATATTTACTTCAACACTAGAATTCTTCTTTCCAAATTACCTAAATCTCTCTCTTTGATTATAGGGTCTTTAAAACGGTGTTTACATCCCTCACAACATTGTGGTCAAAAAAAGATTGCTCCACAATCTAACAAACAACCAGGGCTGTCATGACAAGAGAAGATTAGACCGGCTGTTTTTTGGTTTTCAGGATTCTTTGCCTCAAACTGTATCCCAGTCACTAGCAAAGCGAGAACCGTCGAGAGTTAATGTTCATCTTGGTGACGCCGATGAGCCTCAGCGGGGCGGAGAGGCCGAGCCCCGGGGTGACGGGACACTCACACAGCAGGTCGGACAGCTCGTCCCGCTCCTCCATGCCGAAGGTGGCGTCATTGAGCATCCGGCGGTGCTGGTGGCACGTCTGCTCGATCTTCAGCTGGTGGATGTCGCTGCGGAGCCGCATGAGCTGCCTCGCCAGCTGCTGGTCCTGCATCCGCATGTCTGTCTGATGGAGAGAGGCGGGACAACAGTGGTGCTCAAACAACCTGATCACTAAATCAAATGGTCATAACTTAAGTGAAAAGTCGAAAAAAATGGCGCTATTGTTTTAGCTGAGTAAATCGTTTTTGGACAGCTTACAACCTTACCATTAAGATGTATAATTGTGTTGTGTTTATTTGTACGTTTGAGAGGTTTGTTGGTAGATGTGTAACCTTCAGACAGAGCCAGGCCATATTTGACCACCTGTCCCACTCTTTATGGTAAGCTAGGCTAATTGTTTCCTGGTTGTAACTGAATATTTACCCTACAGACATAAAATAAGAAAGAAAGAAAGCGAACTTCCTAAAATTGCCCCCAAACTCCTTTTTTAAAGACAATTCATTTGTTGATATAGTTGGAACTTATTTATTTGATGCATGATTTTGATTGACTGCAGATCCCTTGCTGTGAGTCCTTATTGTATAACAAAATCCAAAAAGAAAACTCACAGTAGGACATCAACAAAGAAGTTCCTCATCGTAATCTCTCTCCATTTTATTGCTCTCGTGTCCTCTGTGTGTGCAAACGCCCGTGCAGAGATGTTAACCACCTCTCCCGGCCTCTGTGTTTGTGCAAAACGTTTGCGGCCACATACTGTGAGAGTTTCTCCCTCTGTGCCTCTTTGCGTGCTGCAGCCAAGCTCACCAACCGTGGGGTGAATGCATTGAGTGATTGAGCAGAGGGAAAGAGATTACAGCAGCAGAAACAGTGTGAGACAAATGTCTGCTGCTGCTGCATCCATCTCACTCGCCGGCGCGAATGAGATTCTGCAGGCCACTAATTGGACATGGTGCACGATGTTACATTTTAATTAGCCGAGTTCTTTCCTATGTTGGCCTTTTAATGCAAAATTGTAAGGCTCTTCAAATTAGAAATGTGAGTCAAAGTGTGTATTTTCATCTGTTCACATGCAATTCTCAAGTGTCTAAATAACTTTTAAATAGGACCTACAATATCTAGGGCTGGACAATAAACCAATTGTATATCAATATTGTGATATGAGACCTGAGTCTTACAAATTGGATAACATTATGTCATCTTTTCCCGGTTTACAAAAAAAGATGATATATTTCTACATTGAAAATAATGTAAGCATCGTGTCACCAGTTCTCTCCTCAGCCAGCTGAGAGCTTCATCGATGTTCTCGAACCCCTTCAGTGCACCGGAAGGCATCTTGCACTGAATCACAGCAGACCTCACTGCGGTCTCTTTGGGGGGGGCTGCTTCCCCCTCAGGCTCCTCTGTGACCGGGCCTTTTCCCGATCTAAACTCTCTGAAGCTTTCCATCTCGAGCTGGGCTTTCCAGTCGAGGTACGACGGTCTCCTCGTCTCCAGTCTCAGCTTCTCTGTCAGGGCTTTCAGGTCCATGAGATGGTCGTCTGCAGGCAGAGCCAAGTCTTCCTCACATTCTGCCTTGTCCACAACAATCTGAGGAGCTGAGGTGCTGTCCATGATTAATCTTTTCAAAGTAAAAAGCTCTGTACAAAATGTTTCAAAATAAAAATGAATATCTGCTCTTCATTGGTGGCTTCATTCGTTTTTACAAATAATCATAGTCGTATATGTTTTTCCTTTGCTGTGTCCACTGTCTCTGTCAGGAAAGTTGATATTTAAAAGCTCCTTGACATCTCCATTGGTGTTTCGGAGGAAGAGTTAGATCTGCAGAGGAGAGAAATACAACTTGTGAAACTTTTGCTGACTCGCAATTACATCCAAAAGACGAAGACTAGTGTGTCATCATCTGACAAGCAAGACTAACCTCGGCCGAAGCTTGGCAGGCTCAGTTTTGAGTGGACAGAACATGTCCTGATGATGAGGATAGGGAAAGTTTGTGCCTTTTCCGTGTTTGCCTTCATTCTGTAAAGTGACTGAGCAATTGGCTTCTCTCGTATCAGATAAGAACGGATCAGCGCACAGAGGAAACACACCTACAGGTTTTTCATTTAACAGGAACACATTGTTTCCATAGCAACGTCACAGCCAATGTAAATTAATCTGCACATTTTCCATTTCATGTCGTCAGGGCTTATTGACCTAAACAGTGGAACCTGGGACAGAGGACTGGCAGTGGGGCACGATGGGGGATAGGCTAGCTTTTATACAGCAAGCCTTGTATTTATAGCTAAAAACGTATGTCAATTACTACATAATCTTACAAAATCATAGAATAATCATAAATTAAGAGCCAAGAAAAGTATGTATTAATTACTTATTATTTATAGACCCCTTTCTAATATATATATATATACACATTACAAAAACACACAATTCAACAAAGTGCATTCATTCTAATCCTGGGTTAAGTTATAACTATGGTGATAGGAGGTTTTAATGATGTTTGGAAAATAATTATGAATTCTATTAAAGGTTTTCGCTAAGGCATAGCATACGGATGTGCTTATCTTGGGATCCCCTGGGTAATCAATGTTTTACTGTGTTATTTTTTACCATTTCTTTTTGCATTTAATTACATGTCATTATGTGAATATATACATGTATGTACATGTAGGGTGCATTTATGATTAACTTAGTGAATACATGTAGATGTGTTGTGCAATGTCAACACACTATTTTACTAGTAACTTGATTTACATATGAAATGTCTTCTTCTCCATAATAGATGCGGCAGGGGGAAAAGCGATAAACAACTTTAAATTTGGTCACAAAACTAGAAAGTTAATTGGACGCTCCCTTCACAAAACCACAAGAGTCTATCCCAAATATCAGGGCAATCCATCAAATATGTGCTGACTTATTTTAGTCTGGACCAAAGTGGTGGATCAACCTACACGCTAGCTTTCCTACCATAAAGCCATACATTGCTAAAAAGTTATCTCACATATTCTTAAGGAGCCTGCTCTTGTTTATTGCTATACATCCATACGCAGTTGCATTTACACAAAGACATATGGGATCCAAATCAAATTATTCCATAATGGGCACAGCAGACCAGAAGTGAAGTCATTGCCCTTGTAGCTAATGATAGGCTTAGCTGCTCCGCAAGGTAAATAGACCTCTGACTGTGCAGAGTAGCTGACTTACTGTTTGAATGCCCTGGAATGGATCCTCTCATTCTTTTCTAAAGGAACCAGTGTGCCTCTGGAGACCACATTGTTACAGGAGGCCGGTGAAAGCGGAGGAAAATCCATGCCACATGCATTTTTAAAGAGTTTGTAAAGACCCTATATGTACAGCGAGATATTGATTTAAACTGTGAATAGGAACTGCAGAGCCAGGGTGTTTAGAAAGATAGGGGAAGTGTGTGTGTGTGTGTGTGTGTATGCATATAATAAGCTTTGATGAAAACTATAAAGACTTACATGGTTGTGAATCATAACCACTCTTATTGTGGATTTCTTGTGAGACTCTTGGTGAAGCCAGCCACTTTTCAATAGACCAGCAGGGAAGCTTTTTCTTAAGGAAGCCAGCATTTACATCCTGAATATGAATATCAAATGCAGTCTGAGGCAAATACAAACTCAGACAAATCTTTGTGGGGAAAAAGGACCATTTATCGCTATATCCAAATATCTCAACTGGCATCAAGTATTGCACGTATAATCCTCTGGTTTCAAGTCAGCAGAATTTGATGGCTCGTCTACATCCAGTACAGCGTTACCACACCAGTAAAATGTGTTTGATGCTGTTATGAGATGCCAAACCTTAAGGTCTGGCTAAAGACCTTAAGAAGTCTGGCTCTCCCATCTAGCACACGCAGGCATGTCTACATAACAAACATGAATGCAGAGTAACCGACCAGGCTTTATCCTCTGTGAGTCATTTCCATTTAAAGGTGCTACATTAGAACTGGAGGGAAGGTTATGTGCTGATATACAGTTCTGAACATGGGAATATGAGAATCATCCACATCATCAGCAGGATAGCACTGGGAATAAAAGAGATGAGAAGCCGAAAAACTAAAGCTATTTATAAGTCAAACACCCAATAACTGGCATATTGGATTTGTTCGTTACGGCAACATAAACTCATAAAGACTGTGGTTCATAATGTGCAACATTTACAGCCTACACACCAACCACAAGTGGAGCAGAAAGCCCATAATTGATAGTATCAACAGGTGTTTTTTTTATGGTTGTTTATGAGTTTGAATAAAGTACATTTTAGAGTCTAAAACTAAAATACTGTGTTACTGTATCTAGGTTAATGTCAAGGTGACCATCAAACATGAGTCCTTTGGTCTTTAGTCAAACCATAACCCAAAGATAAACAGGCAATAATGCACAACATAACCTAAAATGTTATGTCTGCATAGACAGACACAAGGTTAAGATTATTGGTAAATGATAATCAAGATTACAAATAACGTTTTCCACTTGTTCATGGGTTAAACTTGACACATGCAACAATACAACTTAATGCTATATTACTGTCTTTAGATTTCTAATTTTAAATATGAACTTGACAATACTTTTAGACTAAGCATTGACGACAAATAACGTTGTGGTTAACAAATATCACACCATTGCTCATGTAGCCAAATGTATAAATAAAACCCCATGTAACTAGTTCTAGTTTGTTTCTTCAGGATATAGCCTAGCATAATTTCACATTGCAACATGTTAAGGCTACATTTGAACGTGTAAACGAGGTGGCACTGCGAGCTCACATCAACATTTATTTAATTTTTAACCTGCTCTATCTTTTCTGACACCGTGCTGCAGAGTCACCACCGGCATCATGTGGAACAGGCTAATATAATTCAAACTGCGTGTGGTTCGTTACCTTTTGTGAATCTCCCCGCAGAAGACAAACTTGTAGTTCAAGCAGCGACATCAGTGGAGACCGTCACGTCGCGAGCCAGCTCTCTCGCTCATATCATCCACGAGCAGCTCCACGGTTCACTTGTTTTTGAGCAGAGAGCTACCGGAGGAGGGGCGGGAGGTTGCGTCAGGTTCTGGTTGCCTGGAGACGTCCCAGGAATCCCAATCAGACTTCCCGCCGCACGGATATTACTGGAAGTGCGCCACAACTTCACTTTTACTATCATTTATTTTTAACAAATACACTTTTTAAAACAAACAACAATTTGACAAGTACAAAATGTGAAAAAAATCGACAATTAAATACAGACTACAACGTTTGTTTTAACTGTTACAAGTTGCACCCATCACGAAAGTTCTCTAACCAAATTTGCCACAAAAAGGTACAAAAACCTTTTCAAAATTGTTTAATGGGACATTTGAATCAAAAACTATTAATTGTAAAGCTTACTGATGCACCTTTGTGTGCCACATTCAGAGTTGTAAGGTATAATTTCAGCCTATAACAACACATCAATAAATATAGATATAAATAAAGTATTTTTTTTTCAATATAACTTCAATATAGCATGTAATTTCTCCTGGTTTGCTTTAGTGCTGATTGTCTGCCATCACATGAGACCGAGTGCAGGGGACTGGCCCTAAGCGATAGTGTTTTAATGAACATTAATGGTTACTGTTTTACAATATCTTCAAGTCAAGATAATATATTTGTTAGTTTTTCTTTGTCCAAACCTTTATATATACAGTCTATGGTCCAAACACAACATTTAATTGATTGATTTCATTTCCCACACAACTACAGAAGCATTCATTGAGCCTATACTAATATATTTCCATCCTTTGATAACAGGGCAGCAACATGTAGTTCGGGTCATTTAAGTGTTCCCTGTAATATTACTTTTAATCAATATCGTGATTATATTGGTAGTTACAAACCTGCAGAAAGTTGTTCATACATTTGTAAAAATAACCTGTTTTATATAGATGTCAGACATTCAGGAAGAATGTCTTATCATACAATGATTGTCATATTGCTTAGTGCTAGATTCTTATGGTATGGACTGTAAAATAAATCAAAATGACATAGCCTAAACATAAAATAAATGTCCAAACCAAACAATCATATCAGCAACCCTGGACTAACAGTACTGGAAGATCTCTTTTCCAGGGCTAATATCCAATAATGAATCACACATCTGTTAAATATTTTAGTGAACAACAGGAGTGAAACAAGTCTCTGTCCACAACATTTACAAGCTGAACATCAAAAGGTCAAAAACCCTGTATTACCAGTTTCATCAACACCTCATTTAACCATAAATGTTCTACATAAAAATATTCACACAAGTTATGTAATTTTTCATTTATATTGTTGGAAAATATTTAAGAAAATCTGTAGAAAAAGTATTTTTTTGTTTTATATTTGGTTCTGCTGATGATGTGGACATTTTTGTTGTGAAATAAATAGTGGTAAGACTTACATTTAAGGACAATGTTTATTGTGAATGGACTGCATTTATGTTGACTGCAGAGCCTGGGGATTGAACCATCGACCTTCCGATATTGGACAACCATCTACCATCTGAGCCAAAGACGCCCTATTATACTGTATATCTTATATTTTTGACTCATCTTGTGACTTTAGACATCAGTGATGGCCTTTTATGAGCCGGACTACCTAAAATCTAAATTATTTTCATAAAGTAAGTTCCTCAATGTCATCATCAAATGAGGTGATGGCATGGATGGCGGGCCTGCTGTCTGCCACGTGGATGGTGTTGAGGGAGGATGCTGGAGGAGTAGAAGACCCTGAGTTGAAGCTGAGTAGTCCGTCCCTTTTACGCACCCCGTTGGTAGTTGGAGGATTTTTGAGGACCTCCAGCTTATTGTATGTGCTCACACTGTCACCCAGAGGTGTTGCCAGAGCTCCGAATAGTTGCTGCATGAGGCTAGCCTTCCTGTCCTTCTCCGCTCCACCGTCCGTGTCCTTTTCTTTCTCCGTCTCCACCCCTCTGAGGCTAAAAACACCTATCGCCTCTAACGACGAGTCCCTGTCCTGTTTCGGTGGAGGGGGAGGGAAGCCGGAAGAACCTCGAGAAGCTGAATTCCCGAATGAAGGCGCGTAGCTCCCGAATGCCAGGTCGTCACCGGAGATTTGTGTCCGCAGTGCTCTCCTTCCCACTCCTGCTGTGGCAGTTCCACCCTCCATGCCTGATCTCCTCCTTCCACTGTCCCCGCCTCCAGCACGGAAACCGGCCGACTCTTCTGGTTCTGTGAGGTTAAAAACGGAAGAGTTTCTCTGCTCAGGAAGACGAGGAGAAGCGTGGTTACTGGTGGTCTTATTGGACTCAGAAGGAATAGACTCAGCAAAAATGGCATCCTGGGATCCGTGCTCTTGGCGGTCTATTTCACGCATCTTAGCCAGCAGCAGTTCTTTTGTGCGACGTGCTTCCTCTGCCGTTTGCCGATTGGACAGCGCCCCGTGGTTCCACCTGTCCACCTCTTCCTGGACATGGCCACGCTTCCTGTTGTTCTCTTCCTCCTGGCGTAACAGGGAACTCATCCTCTTCCTGTCCTGTTTCTCTTTTTTCTCCTCTGTGGACATAAGACCATGTTTTAATCCTCTTCTCAATGCATTAGTGTTGCAAATGTGTACTCTATGCTCATCTTACCTTCTCTTAGTTGTTTTGCCTTCTCCTCAAGCAAGTTTAGCTCCTGGTTCAGTTGCAGCTTCTCCTCTTTTTGCAGCTCTTTATCGTTCTCCTTCACCAGCTCCTTCTCCTTGTTTCCTTCTATTTCTTTGTTGCTTGTCTTCTGCTGTTCCCACTTTAGATGTCGGTCCTCTGTCTCCACCTGTCTGTCAACACCGGCAAACTCCTGCTGAAGTAAATGGATTGAGAGAAAGAGGCGTAAAAGTTGAATGACACACAAATGACTAAGAGGGGAATAAATGTGAATGTTGGGTACAGTGAATTTACCTTGAGCGATAGATACTCATCAGGTGCCTGTTCACTGTACCCATTGGCATCAGTGATGGCAGGGGGAGGAGTGGGGAAATCCAGACTGGGCGCCCTGTCTTTAGTCTGCACTGCCTTAGTGCTGCTCCTGCTGGGGACTACGTGTGAAACAAGAGCAGAATAAATATTAAAGTCCATTTTGTAGTCCTTTTGCAAACCATGAAACCTTGATCACTAGTTTCCAATATGTATTAGCATCAATGTTCATCAGCTTCTCAAAACTACTTCAATATGGATAAATATACAAACATTTGAGAAGCTTATGTATAGACAGGGGTGCACATAAGTGGTACGCAGGTACGCATGCGCGGCAACAATCTGAAATGCGTACCGTCACTTGTGTCACAAAGCGCGTTACTATACCGTCGTCATGTTATATAAAATCGGGGGATGGGTTCGTTTCCGATCTGGTTCTATGGTCTAGTTAATTGACGGTACGTTATTCATCGTTAGGAAAAATAGGTTATTTGGGAAGGACAGTATTTAGCGCGCGCAAAAGGTTGTCACTTGGGACATTACGGTTACCTTCAGTGTGTTACTTTTTTTGTATGAGCTGTTGTGTTATTTGGTCGTTACAATAAATAAGACGTTTAGAATTTACGACAAAAACAGTTACCTCAGACCACCATGGGTAACTATTCCCGACACGACTAACGTAACCTGCACTTTTTACTGAAGTTATACTTCGCATTTGATTTGACTAATAAGAGCTTGAAAAACCAACATCCAAAGTTTGTGAACCCTTTGAAGGGATAGTGTTATGGCGGTGGAATTATTTTAGACATGATAGGGGGAATTTCACCTCGGACAATACGATATATCCGTTTTTAGTGATAACATCCCGGTATGGATCATTGTTTTGTACAGACACTTGGCAAAAACGAATTTTATGTTTGTCAAGTGGCGGTAACAGTCGGTAGCGAGTATACGACGGAGTGTGGGAGAAAACGTCGGGGAGCAATCTTTTGGCGCCTAAAACCGCAGGAATCGAACTTTTTTTTTTTCCTCCCTCCGCCTCGGATTACGGACTAGTTTAAGATAGGCTCTAATTTCAATTTAAGCCGACACGTATTTTGCGAGTAGGACGAAGGATTCGGTGTAGTTTCTAATAGAGACTTTGTGCATACCTGAGTTTACGCGAAAAAGAGAACCGTACCAAAATAGTGTTCGACTCAGGAAAGAAAAAATAAAGCGACGAAAAAGTTTGTGTACTACGATGAGGTCATCGTCAATCGGACTCCCTTATCGCTTCCGGGCGAGTTACATTTAGTATCTGCGTTACTATATGCAGGTTTTGTGCACGTGTCGTAGTACACAGAGTATCGGTAAGAGGCCACCAGACCGGCAAATGCAGTGTGGCCGTCGGTGACGATAGGCTAGCACATGGTACCACGCTCTGTAGACCGCATGTCTACTTGTCTATTCTCCAACGAATAAGAAGAACTGTCGTACTCAGTTCTTTCGTGTACTTGTGTACGCTAAAATGACATATTTTCTGTAGTCTCCCACGTAAACGTTACTAGTCAGTGCCTAGATCAAGTCACCAGTACCATCTGGACATTGTAGATATGAATGTCACCATCACCTCCTCACGTCTCGAAGAACTGGTGTCTTCCGCAGCACTTGGTAACCTAGTCTAGAGACAAAATCGCGGTCACGACGACATCGTATGTCTGGGGCTAATTGTCGTCGTGGACAGGACACGTGTGCCGCTGAGACAGCATGGCCACTAGGATTTGGCGGAGCCTTTTTCGAAGTGTAATATGGTAGNGTCTCTACTTTAAAGAGTCCTCTCCTGCTGATGTTCAGGTGTATATCAGTATGTAGTGTCTCTACTTTAAAGAGTCCTCTCCTGCTGATGTTCAGGTGTATATCAGTATGTAGTGTCTCTACTTTAAAGAGTCCTCTCCTGCTGACGTTCAGGTTTATCTTTCATCTCTTCTCGTCTTTTTTATTCTTTGTAGAAATGTAGGGAGTTTGTAATAACACTTTGTGGGAGTAGCACCTGCAGTGTTTGTGTGTTGTCATGGTGACAATAAAGTTATTGAATCTTAAATGTATTTGATGAACAGAAGTTCCTGCTTATACACCTAAAACTAGGAGCAGAAGAAGAAAAGACAGAGGAAGATTTTAATTATAATGTTGTGCTGCCATCTACTGGACTCTGACTGAACTACAGAGTTAAGATGAGATCAGATGGATCTTTATTAACCCCTGAGGGGACATTATACACAGGGAGGTTAAGCAGCAGCAGAGTGAGTTCTGATTCACTGAAGAGTAAAGATACAGCTAAAATGATATACAGTAACTGTTAAAACAAGAAGTTAATAAAATAAACATATTTGAGTCTGGATTGTTAAATATATCAAACGGTAGAGCATGAAACTTCCCCACCTCATTGCTGACATTAACACCATTTTTTTTTAATCACACTTTTTTTCAGAAAATCTCAGTAATTACTTTTTCCTGAAAATACAATTGTTTTAACATTTTTCAGAAAATCTCAAATTCAGATTTTTTCTGAAAATCTCAAATATTTTATTTTTTGAGTGAATTCCGACTTTTCAGAAAATCTCAAGATTCTGACTTTTTTCACCAAATTTGAACTTTTTTTCAGAAAAACCCAAATTCTTACATTTTTGTTAATATCGCAAAATGTTGACTTTTCTGAAATCTCAAGATTTAAAAATCTATTTACAAATGTATCTTTTAAAAAAAAATTATATTAACGTTTATTTGTATTTTTTAACTGAATCAAAGAGAAAATAAATCAATGATGTAATCCTGACTTTAGAAAAGCTGTAATTGTATGTTTTTTTTGCTGAAACATTAATCCTCAAATCCCCGTATATTCAATTTCTACTTTATTTTTTTGTCATGGATTTATTTATTTACATCTATTTGATTCTTATTTCACAGCAGAGGAAAAGACGACAGACCTTTGTGTTTTAAATAAAGTTTTATTAAAGATGATCAAGCTCAATAATAACAGCAAACTGAAAACTAAATCCTGTTAACTCATAATACAAAAGAAAAAATGCTGCAGGTAGTGACTGGTCCGCTCAAACACACACACACGCTTTTTCTCTCTCTCACACACACTCTCTCTCTCTCTCTCTCACACTCTCTCACACACACACACACACACACACACACACACACACACACACTGTGACTGCTGTAATAAATTATATGTACAGTCCAGGTCCGTCTGCGGCTCCGTCGACACAGAGAGAAATTCTGCAGAAAAAAAACACAAAATCAAAGTTAATTACGGAAAAAACAGGCAGAGAAAAACTAAATAGAACATTATATTATCGAATATACATACGTTCATATTTAGGCAATATACAAACACATTTTAGAAACTCTAGTTCTCCCCTTGAAGACGATGGGCGCTTCTAAGGAGGTTTTAAACGGTTAAATAAACACTTAAAATTACAATGAAAACAGACGGGCAAAGACGAGCCTCTGATTAAATATACATTAAATACATTATTGCAAAGCTGGAATATTAAAATAGCTTTTAAAAGACAGTAAAAACATAAAAGTAGGAACAATTATAATAAAACAATTTTTTTTAAAAGAAATAAATATTCTATAATAAATAAAATAAATGCATGATAAAAAAAACACCTGCAAACAAATCCATATTAATTACAATTAAAGGAATACTTAAAAAAAAAAAGCATAATAATTACACATTAATGTTTATTTTATTCCATTCTATTTTCTATGTAAATACTGCTATATTTTACTATATCTTTTAATGTTATTATAGTTTTCTTAATATAGTTCTCTAACAAGTAAAACAAGAATTAAAAACACAGATAGAGAACTATATTAAGAAAACTATAATAACATTAAAAGATATAGTAAAATATAGCAGTATTTACATAGAAAATAGAATGGAATAAAATAAACATTAATGNTGCGATTTTACTTTTTTTAAGCAGAGGTTGAGTTCAATAATTTGTACGGACCTGGTCATTGTAGACCTGTAAACATCTATACTTACAGTGGTAGTGGAGTGCAGAGCTTCTTGACCACAGAGCGTGTGAACATTGTGATCAGCTGTTTTAGCGCAGTGCTGCT